TATATACATAATTTAATTAATATTATCGCTTTAAATCGAATTTGATAAATATTGCAAACAATAATGTATATGCTAATGATTTCGATGTATATATTTCGATTAATTTCAGCAGGATAGATAAGTATTGGATAAATATGGTATTCGATATATATCAAATCCGCTATATATCGATTATTACTGTATATCGCTACTTATTGAATATATGCTATATATTGATTACTATCTGTATCGATTGGTATCGGCAGGGTAATTAGTATCGATATATATCCACCTGGTTAGTTATCGATATATATCAGTCTATTTTTTTTGCTGATGTAGACGGTGGTGTAAGATCAGTGGGGGCATTAATATAAGTATCGAGGGCTCGAGGATACCAATCCTGGGGTAGTCGTATGATATCTTCACTCATTAATAGAATTTATTTCAAAATTGATCAAAGATTCAGTTGTTTCTGATATATCTAAAAAGTAAGTTTTTTTTTCTATTCTAGAGTAATTATATACTCGATCTTCTAGCTCTTTGTTTTCATACTCATCATCACTACTTGATTCATATTCAGATTCTTCGCCTTTATTTAGGTTACAAATTTTAGTATGATGATTTTTACTTAACAGCTCAGGAGTGAGTCTTTTAAATTCTACCAGAACTACTATTTCTTGCTTATTCCATATAAAGATCATTTCAGAGGTTGTTCAGTCAATCTTAGTGTTAATTTTTGATAACTAGTCATTGTCAACAATGGCATTATAGGAATTGGCTTTAGTAACAATGACATCAATTGGTATTTCAATACTAGCAACAGTAAAGGGAAAATTAGAAATTTCTCCAAAAGCCCACTTACTCTCTCCATGAACGTTTACCATGTTAATGGTGAAGGGTTGTTCAGCCTTAATACCAAAGTCATGTAACAAGTAGGAAGAGACTATACTACCGAAAGACCCACTATTTACTATCAAAGGCACTTCTACTCCAAGGATAGTAGTGTCACAATACAGGGCGGTCAATTTACTATTAGGCATAACATTAATGTTAGCCTTTACTTTTCTTTTAACAGGCATCTTTTTCTTATATAGGCTTCGAATGAGTTCAGTACGCATAGCAGGGTTAACACGAAGAAGTTGGCTAATTGTAATGTTAGCCGGTTTGTCTTGCAAATTGGTTATAATAGAATATGCTAGAACCAACGAAAAAATTTGGGGTAATTCATCCTCTAGAACTATTCTTCTTACTATAGGTGCACGTTTAGGCTTGACAAGAATAGCGTTTGCAGAACTAATTTTTTCTTTATTTAAATATTCTTTTTCTTTTTTCGGACTTAGTTTAGTTTCTTCTTTTTCTTTTAATTTATCACCTTTTTCATTTTCTTTTTCCAACAACACTTCTAGGGGCTCTTCCACTCCCAACTTCAAGTCACCATCTTCTTTATGGGGTGTTTGTAATGGTGCATGAAGCCGCTTGCTTGTTTACCTTCTCGTGACCTTACTGTGAAAAATGGCGTATCTTCAACCAATATGTTAAGGAAGATAGGCTGGTTATTTTGGAAGTTTTGGTTGTCTTACTGCTTTGTTGATTAGCTGCAATTAAATTAGCAGCCATGGCCAATAAAGCCTGTAAGGCTTCTTGCTGCTGACTTTTAGGCATATTACTTGTTCCCGGGTTTACATTGGTAGTAGTAGTAATATTAGGGTTAGTATTAGTACCTGGGGCATGGTAGTGTTTGAAGAAACTACATTAGGGTAGGGGTAAGCTACAGAAGTTGGTATTTGCCCAGCATTATATTGTTGACCCATGGGGACATAGTTTTGGGAAGAATTGGGCGGAGGATTAGGGACAACCGGACTATACCAATTTCAGCTAATGTGGCCTGGCCATCCACATTTAAAACAAACTACTCTAGAGGAATTATTAGAAGGAGGTGGTTGTTATTTTTGCATTTGTGTTATCATTTTATTCACGGCTTCGGTTAATTTTTCAATTGCAGATTCGGAAGTTGTAACGGGAGTAGAAAACCCGGCAGGATGTTGGAAGAATACTAAGAAGAATATAAAGCACTAATGGGTTTGGGAAGATATGGTAAATTTTGCTTACAAGCGCTTTTATACACTTTGGCGTAGTTGTAAGCTGCTTGTAACATGTTTGGGGTAAATAGGGCGACAGCTAATATGGTAGCCCATTGAAAAAAGTTGGGCTTTAGCTGTTTCTGGGTATGGTTGAGCTCCTGTTTCAATTCGTTGAAGCAACTCTTGCATTTCTGTATAATAAGTATCTATATCCTTGCCAACTTGCTACTTTTGAGAAGCTAGTTAGGTGAACTATTTTTCCTCCAGTGCAGGGGTGTGAAATTGGAGTATAAAATGTGGCCGGAAACTAATATTGGGCTGAGCCGGGTCATTCCAGGTATTAATGGGGTTGAGTGGTTGTTGTGTGGTTGCCTACCATATGGTTGTGAATCCTTTAAGATGTGGAACAATGACTTGGAGCTAATAGTTGTTGCTAACCAAATTAGTAGCAAAAGCTTTTTCATCTCATCTAATCAAGATACAGAGTCTTGATCTCCTCTAATAAAATTGGGATAGGCTACCAAATTCAGTTCCCAGTTCGGGGTATTGTAGTTAACTTGTGGAGCAGGAGCAATCTGCATTTGTTGGATTAATAATCCAATTTGAGTCACTAAGTTATCGATAGTGTTAGGTTGCTGTGGTAGCTATTCTGGATTTGGCTGTTGGGGTAGTTGAGGCTGCTGTGGTGGCTCTGCCTGAGGCAGATTAACTTGCTGCCCAGGATTCAGCTACGATGCAGGATTCAGAGGTTGACCCAGATTACCTAAAGTGGGTTAGCCTGGATTTACTGGTGGATGTTAAGTTATTATTATATTTTAGATAAGTTATATAATTTTGAATTTTTGTTATATAAGAACATTAACTTTTGACTAATAGCTATTTAATTTAAGGTGTACTGTTTTATTCTTCCACACAATCGGCACCAAATGTAATGGTTGTGTTGGGAGAGCAAAAAGGATTATAGACAAATAGTGCCAATTTGAACTCCAACCATGTATGGGATTGGGGTTTATATAAATGTAGGAAAATAATATAAATCTGCCTTAAAACTAATCAATCTTGAATACAAAGACTAATTTAATATGATTTAGATAATGATAATAACTAAAAATGAGTAGAAGCTTATGATTGATTGATAATGGTGTTTTAGGACTAATAATTCAAATTGAATACAAGAACTATCCCTTAAACGGTAAGCAATTGCAGGCAAATTTGCCTGCAATCTTTAATATAAATATACTTCTGATCTATTTTTAAAAAATCTAAAATATTAAAATAAATTTTTTTTAAATAATATTTAAAAACAAAAGTTATATG